AACGCCGATTGCTTCACGAGACGAATTTCAAAGATTTTGGACGAATCGGAATGCTAACAATTTGAATTATACTGAACCTGAAATGAAATCTAGTGGTGGCTTTTTGAAATTCAAATTGAGAATTGGGCTTGGCGATGTTTGGGGACGAAATTTAAGTATTGATATAGGGAATTTGTGTAATACAAGTGTTAAAATAGCCGGGAAAACCTATAATAACAACGCGAGGTCTGTTCCATCCAAAGAATCGTTTCGTTGGGACTCAAGTATGCTTTTCTGGAGTAATGCATTTCACTTTTGTCAGTACAAGTAAATGTCTCAATCAATTTTCATATATACCTCGATCATGATCTTCACAATTTAGCTGTTTAAATTACAAAATGTACTTATGAAAAATGTATGACGTACATGCAAAGCTAATGTACAGAACTACATCTGTTTCTCATCAACCTCATATAAATTTTTGTTTTAATTGTGACCAAAGTGTTTTGAGATGTTTTGTTTCATATTTTCATGTACTAACAAATGTAATGTAAGCATCACAACCCGAGTCCAGTACTTTCTGAATGTTCTTAAACCAAATCCAACAAATCGTTTCCAGGCGCTCAATCAATAATCTTTAAATAAAGATTTTTCGCTTTACTTTCAAAATGGTTCATGCGTGCACTGACCAACCGTTTTCCGTCTGTGTATGATCAAACATGATTTTTAGACATCCCTCTTTGCAAATAATCATATCGTCTGTGGACTTAAAAAAAAGATGCGCACCTTAGGCGAAAATCGTCCACTCTATCCATAGTGCCCAGTATAAAATTATGACTTGAAACAGACATATCTCCAAATGTAGAATTTTGAACCAAGTTACAAACGTATACTGTTCTTAATATAAAACTCAGTGTACACATTTATGTAAAAAGAAAAACGAAATTATATGACACACGTGACAACTTTTTTTTTTAGTTTCCAACGTAATGTCGTCTGCTTCACTCGCACGTGGTCATGAATCCTAAACATTAGCCTATAGGCATGTGAATCGAAGCAAGTCACCAGACGGATTGTTCGAGGATAAAATGTCCCAAATTTTAAAATAAAAAAATGCTTGAAAAAACACCCTTCCACTCCATAGAAACAATTAGATGTTTTACATGTTTGTGTATTTATTTGAAGTTGTTTGACGCTTGAATGGTTTCTATTTCAATTTGTTCTAGGTCTTAACTTAAATTGACCGGACTAAATAGGTGCTCTTGTTGTAGACTGTGTACTAATATTTAATTGGTATTAGATATGGTAATACTGCATACAGAATATTGTTATGCATGAAGTAGGCGTAAAATATATATGAGTCATTTTGTAGAGTAGTTCATCCTCGTATTTTCAACGCAAACACCGACAGTTTTCGCCCGTAGAGCACTAGCTTCACGCTTGCAATGCACACGATTTATAAGAAAGTGGAATAAAGAATTTGACTGGAGCGGGGTTTGGGCCTTGGACCTCTGGATTGCTGCTCTGGTGCTCTTCCAACTGAGCTATCCAGCCATCATATCGACGGTTCCCCATTTTTGTCAATGGCTATAGTACTGCAAATCTTGTTCAATAAACAAGATTGACAGAACTAACAAAACCCATACGCATGCGCGTCTTGATTCTGTCAAGTATATAGTCATTTGCTATCGCTACATGCCCACGCTCGGTATTGACCCGGACCCCAGAACAGCCCTACCTATAGTTACTGGTTAGAAGTTATGATAATTATGATAATTTTATATAAAATAACGTATTACTTAGTGTCAGGGGCGGCGGAACCGGGGGAGGCAGGGGGCACTAAAATTACGGATAATATTTTTTGAGTATAACCATTGCCTCAAATGGTATAGAGGGTTCTGATATGAACGAGGAATACGAAAACAAAGCCTCAAACCCCTAACATAATGCGTAGTTTGCATAATGGCCGGTTTTGAAGAGCGCCCCCTAAAAAAACCCCAGAGGGATGGAGGAGGTCAACAACTTGAAAGGTATATATAACAAGCGTTCTAAAGATATTCTGTATGTGTTTGACCAAGATCCAACGAAATACATGTAGTAGTGCTAAGTGTGAAGTTGAATTTCATGTTATACCTAAGTATTTTTCCTTAGTGTTTTAAAAATTGTTTATGAACTTATTTTGAAGTACGTGTACAGCAAAGAATTTCGATTAAATCCTATGACTCATTATAAAGTTAGGGTTCATAGTTAGTCTGAAAATGTGGGACTCTCAATACTGTGTATGAGAGTCCCAAAATTTAAGATTGTCAAAACATGCAATACAAGAAAATAGACTGGCACATGGAACAAATAGTCCAACACCCCTTACGAACTGCATCAACTGTGTCAAAAGAAACATCTGGTGCTGGTCTCTATTTCTACACATTCTCCATAGTCATGCCACCAGACTACTGAAGAGTTATTTTTTTTTCAAAAAGTTAAACATGTACCAGTCTAGTCTTAGGCTTCAAATTGAAATCACTTGGCTTCACTCTCAAGTGCAAAATGTCGAAGTAAAGTCTTCTTTAAAAAATGAATTGAGACTTCAAACTTGGCCGGTGAAATACTGAGGACCTTGTCTTTGCCTCATGAAAGTTTTTGAGAACTCTGTCAGCTGAAGAGCGAGTAAAAATGGCGTGATTTTGTTTAATGTTTGTCTGCACTCAAGGTTCCAGTCTGGTCCAAGTGTGACACTTTTCCTGTCCCTGTCACCTTGGTAGGCCTACTTTGTAACCCGTCACGTAAGTATCCTTAGGATTGACTTCAAACGATATTTTATTTGTTGGGTAGGTAGTTTGCTATTCACAATCACTCTTGGATGACAACTACATTAAGAAGTGCATCAGAATTATAAAATCATAGATGTCAGATGAAAATAATAGGGACAGGAAAAAAGTGGGCCCCCAAATTAATTGATAGAATGACCCATAACGATTCAATATCTGTTGCACAATAAACACTGATACGTGTGTGGTACAAACTGATGACCGGGATTCAATTATTGGACCGTTGCCCCTCCCCCTCCCCCCGCCCAATCCTGAATACGTCACAGATGCGCTACCTTTATCAAAAGAGATGCAATTATTCCCCCCCCCCCTCCCCACACACAAACACCCACACAAGTGTGTATTTGCCTGCAATCTGGGACCCCCTATTGTCCCACCTTTATGAATAATATTTATTATGTGGAATATCACGGTACTTTTCGCAATTACAAAATATCATTGTTAACATCACGAGAAGTGATGTAATAATATCATTTTCAAGGGCGGATCCGGCCAACGGGGGCCGTGCCCCCCCCCCAAAAAAAACCCCAAATTTTGTTTTTAAGTGACGTCGCAATAAAGGCAGGCACAACGTACACCACCATCTTTTCCTCAAAAATATTTTTCAGGAATTGTGGTCGGAAATTGCCTCAGATCCACCACAGAGCATCTAGAATCAAAACAAAATTCGGGGCCCAAAGCGGGCCCGCACCCCACTCCATAATTTGTTGACCCACTTTTTGAGGGACGAATATTACTTCTGGCCCCCACCCAAATTTTGTTCTGGATACGCCCTTGATCACTTTATTCTCTTGAGAATGGTTGCTACAACCACAATTTTTCCGTGATGCTTGTGTATTCTGGAAACTGGGGGAACACGCCCAAAAGAAACTCTCTATCGGGATAACTAACCGAACTTTACTAATCTCTGATTTTTTTCAGGGAAGAGTCACAGGGAATTGAATGAATAGAGACATGAGAGTCATTCTTAGTTGCCAAACCAGAATCAAAAAGACTTTATTGACTGAAACAACCTACAGCAAAACTGAAACAAGACTTTAACCGAAAAAACTAAAACTAATAGCAAAAACAGTATTTTTAACAAATCACCAGAAAAGACCAAAAAGCAGTGTAAAATGATTTATCTTTAAGTACAATCTGGCTAAAAATCAATCACTTGATGGTGTTAGAACCTGAACAGGATCGACACACCACTCTAATTAATTAGCATGGCGTCTAGTGTAAGGGGCACATGCACATTGTACTCTCATCTCTGCTGGTCTGGTTTAAGCTGACTGAGGTCAAGATTGGGCAACGCATATGGTTCCTTATCAACGCAAGGCACATGGGTGTCATTTCTAAGAGGTCTGACTACTGGAAACAGGGAGACACGCTACTAAAAACAAGTGAAGGGCATAGGCCTAACTAAACTCCCATGATAAATTCATCCGGTAGAACTTCTCCTTTACTTAACACAGAAAACAACGTGGTAATTACAATTAATATTTGGCCCCGCCACATCACTGTCAAGAATGAAGTTGCAAGCAACACACCATCTAGGCCCTACTTGCCACACTCTTCACCAAAATATTGCAAAGTGGAACTCCACCGATATCCCGCTCCTGCTGCCAAGTAAGTCTTCTACAGTTTACAAGAAAGGAGACCCATCGCTGCCGCCCAACTTTCGCATGATCGCTCTGAACAGTAGCATTGCCAAGGTCTACCAACAACTAACCAAACTTTACTTATCTTAGTTATTTAAGGGAAGTAAAAGTCGCAAGGAATTGAATTAATACTACATTAGATTAATTCTAAGTTGTCGAAAAAAAATCAAAACGAATTTATTGACGGAAAAAAAAAATTGTATACAACAAAATTCAGTACAAGAATTTAACCGCAAAAACTAGTAAAAACCAATAGCAAAAAATAGTGCGTTGAAAACAGCCTTAATAAGGCTTGCTGTGTCACCTTTGTGAACAATTTCGGTGTCATGAAATTTAATCCGAAATCAAAAAAAACCCGGTGGTGTCCGGAAATGTGGCACAAAATCGTCTGAGTGTTCCCCAACGTGGCGGAAAATTTCAAATAAACATTTAAGAATTTCTGTAAAGTTGATAAATTCTGATAACCATTTTTTATCTCTACTTACATACCATACTAAATGTTTGTCAGAAAATTATTTTCTTATTTGGGGGGAGGCATTTCAATGGGCTTACTGTTACATTCGAAATAAATCGGAAAATCACGCCGAACTAAATGTTTCTTCTAACTTTTTGAACAGGTAGATAAACTCGTGATTTATCAACGGGAGTGCTTAGAACTTGATGAAACTGCACTTTCTGTGAAATTTCAGTTAAACCTTTTACTCTAGCTAGGCGCTATAAAAATCACTGTGCCACGTTATAGGGGCCGCGCCATGTTGGGGTACATCAACAATATACTGCCCCGACCATGAACATCCACCATGACGAAAAGCTGGAAAATGGTTGCACACCCTATTGTTACGTCAGACTTTCACTCGGGAACTGACTTCTGGCTTAAGCCGAAACCAAAAAGTCTAATGTGCTGGAAAATTCTTCTCCAGAACGAGTCTGCAAATAAGATTTCGAGCAAATAATGTTAAAGCTAAAGTTGTTATTCCCTCATTCAAACGTTATTCACTTTTGATTGAAACATCAAAGGAAAATCCACCCATGTTTACACAAAGGTGTAATACAAATTTCAATTGCATTTTGCAAGTTGCGAACGATAGAAATAAAAACAGTTTTGTTTTTTCGCTTAAATGAAATAATTATACAAATTGATGTTATAATAATTGTTGGCAAGCACAGACGGTAAAACTTTGATTACGAATGATGAAAGGTTGAAAGGAGCAATTGTGTACATTCATTTGACAGCTTTAAGAGCGCCGATTTTGCTTGGCACTTAAGCACCATTAAGTTATACGCTGAAGTGCGTTCTCTATCGCCCACACTAAATAGACTTTTCTTGCCAACCCGTGGATGGCACTTAGTTGCCAACCACGGGTTGCCAAACTCAAGAACATCAACATCCCAACAACAGAGTAGTTATAAATGTTTCCAAACATATCAGTGGACCAATGAACGCTTCCAAAGACTTAATAACAATGCCTGCTGTTACACAATGTACAAACATTACATTCACTGTGTGAACAAAAGATGTCCACATAAACCAGCCAGTAGCAGCACGAGAACAAAGAAATGTTGTGTGGAATTTCCCACATCCACACAATGTTTTCCCCTCTCTGGAAAACAGGTTTAGAGGCATTTTTGGGTTAGGTTTAACCATGGCAAAATGAAGAGAAACACAAAAGGGAATCCTAGAAAAAAATTGGGGTTGAAAGAGTTTTCACAATGTGAGTAAAATGATTTTTTTTCACAGGTTTTCTTAACTACGCGAATTCAAAAGTATGTCCACACTAGGTATGTATAGCCAAACGTAAACATTGGTGGGTGTGTGTGAGTTTGTTTCTGCATTCAATAGGGGACGTTGAACAATAGAGGACAATAGGGTCCCCAATTCCCGAGAGGTCCCAAATTTGGATTCATGTACAAAACACATGGGAGGTCTTCCTAAAAAGTTGGTGAACAAACAAACATAGGACAATAGGGGATCCCCGATTACAGGCAAATACAGTATGTGTGTGTGGGGGGGGGGGGAAGGGGATGAATGTTACAGAGTGGGGGTGGGGGCGCCCAATTTCGGTTCAACCCGTTGGTGGTCACTTATATAACAAATTTCCAAGGGCCGATGGGGGGGGCGACGATTTTTTTTATGGGGGACACGTTCCCCCCCCCCCCCCTCCCCCCCTGGCTACGCCGCTGAGGGCATAGTGTCGTTCGCCGGGATTTGTTGTGTCTCGGAGCTTATGTGCGAGACGTCATCACAGCGACACCTCGTGTTCCCGTTGTTAACGGAAAAGAACAAAATGTTCCTTGCACAGGCGCAGTTCTAGAGCCTATATTTTAGGGGGGGAGGCTAGCAGGGTGGCTCCAGCAATATGTGCAGGGAGGCGTGATGATTTATTTGTTTCTCCGGACACTTAGGCCTCCGAAAATCAATAGGCGGGTTGGGGGGGGGTGGGCTCGTGCCATATTTTCATTGGGGAGCGCTGATAAATTCGTACAATCATGCACACTATATTACCTAATAGTGTACAAATGCACCCTTTTTACAACTATGTTTTTTTAGGGGGAGACCATTAACATGTGACGTCACCTTCTAACATTTGCTACTGCCATTTATTTATATGAATTTTTTTTCGAGGGCGCTAGACAAAAGTTTGGGGGCTATAGCCCCCCCCCCCCCCCTTCCGTAGAACCGCGTCTGACCTTGCATTTTCAGTGTTGCAGAAATGCCGGGAATGGAATAAGAAATGCAAAGGTTGTATGCAGTATCTCCGTAACAAAGTAATTCTAGTCTAAAGTACTTTCCTTGAATGAAAAGATCGATTTGTATAGTTTACCGGATCTCTTTGGGTGCAATGTACCACGTTGACGGCAAGCTGAAACCGTTAAAATCGCATGCACACGTAGCGGTATAGCCTCCCATATCTGATGACAGAAAAAACATAACACAAAATTGGGCAAAATATTTCAGATCAAAACTAGTAATCTATCATCTAGTAATATGTATTAGAAATAAATTCAAAACGGTACTAACCAGATTTACTGTTTAGATTTTATGTAGCCTACACTGGTAAGCTAGCTGTTTCTTATTTGGCCCCATCCTACAGGTGTAGTCGATTGATTACTTACGTTAATATGCGTTCCTTTTGCATACCAAGGTTATCATAGTTACTGTTTTGTGTAAAACATTCTTGGGTTGACAATTTACTTGTAAAGAATGCCTTGAGTTCAAGGGCGCAGTGAGGGGGCGGGGCTGGAAAAGCCAAAAGTACAAAAAGAGAAAAGGGAGGGGAAAGGAGAAAGAGGGGAAAAAAGAAAACGAGTGGCGAATCATATTATTGTTAATTTAATGTATATTTTATAACGTAGACGTTTTTCTTACAAAGCGTCGAAGAGAAATATGTGCACACTCTTGATTTTTCCATGGCCGGTCACTTCGCTCTGGTGAGTGTTTGCCCCCCTCAAGAAAAAAAAAACCTGGCGACGCCCATGCTCGAGTTTCATAATCACATGGTTTGGCGTATTGAAGTAAGTTCGAGCGTTTAGTGAGCCCCTTTAAGGTGTGCCCCATTGGACTTGGTAAAAGATTTATATGCAGTTGTGGGTGAACCGGCCGCGATCGGAACAGGCAAATATTTTTCGCGTGATTCCAAAATTAACAAAAAATTATTTATTTTAATTTTTTCTGGTAATGAAACCAAGGATTCCTCAAAAGTACCCTAAGCACTGTAGCTCGAAAGCCTGAAGAAACCTGAAGAGAGAATACAATGAGAAGAAATACTGTTTTAGAGGTGGGAGGAAATGCCCAGAGGAATATTGTGAGGAAAACCACGGAATCAGGTAGAGACAGAAAACCCAATCCACATATTGGCCCGGGCGGGATTCGAACCCGGGTCACAGCAGTGGAAGGCGAGGAAAGAACCGTTACGCCAACCCGACTCCCCCGATTTGGTGGTTGTGAGGAATGAGAAAAAGTGAAGGCCATGTAATGAGCTGATACGTCACTATAGATATGAATATTCGCTCAAAACTTTCTGAACTGGAGCGCGCCATTTCACACTGACGCAAACAAGCACAATGTGATATATGTCTTGAACTTTAAGATGTCGCAAGCATTGTTTACGCCTATGCGGATCACTAATTTTGTCATACAAAAAATGTACGTTAATGGCAGAGATTATGTGCGTACGTCTCATAATGCATGCATGATACATCCAATGAGTGATCAGAATGATTGGCCATCTTTGGCGAACCGTTCACTGTACAAGACAAGAATAAATAGGCCTATGACTATACACTTATATAGAACATAATTCCCATTTTTTTCCAAGAAAGACGTATACTCACCATGGAACAAGACAAACTCTCCAGTGTCCATCTCAGGCAACATACAGTTAGCCATGATGACGTCATTAGAATCACAAGTCGGCCCAAAAATTGTAGATGGCTTCAAATCACGGTTTCTAAGTGGTTCCTGTGTTTTGATTACGTAACAATGAAAAAAAGTCATATGAAATCTGAGAGGTCAAAACAACTTCGGCGAGACCAATACTCCTTGCACCAACTTGTAGTTATATTGCTGTTGACTTTTGCCTCTCCCCCCATTTCTCAACCACGGGCTTCGTTCTGGCAACGAACTTTAACGTCATTGGGTCCCTTGCCTTGAGAAAATATTGATCACTTTGTCGGTCCAGTTTCTGCTACAAAATCATCTGATTCCCTCTGAATACGAAACAACATTTTGGAGTCTTTCTGTTTGATAGAACATCAAAGGATTAGAAATGGTTGCAGCAGCGACTTAGGCGAATTCGGAACGAAGCCGGGACTAAATGCAAGTAGGCCCTACGAACATTAATAAAAGTTGTGGTCTTCCCATTATAGGCTATTCATAAATACCTAAGATATTTTACCCATTCTTATTGGTCGAAAGCCCGTCAGTGGCGGGTCTTAAACGGTTGATAAAACACTGGCTAGGCTGGAAGTGTTTAAGACCAGCCAGAAATAAAGGTGTCCCCTCAATCATGGCAACAAATGCATTTCTGGTTTCGAAAATGTGTTTTTCAGAATTTGTAGGTTTTGAAGTTTCTAAATTTTGATAAAGCAAATATTTTACATCATTTTCAACCTTAAATATTTTTCTCCTTTAATTAAGGCAAGTTTTTATTGCTTTTGGGGCCTGTTTTGGTAGCATTGGCCCATTTTCGTCGTGCAAATGAAAATAATTCGGGCCGATATTACTTATAATTATGATGTGAATAAATAAAGGCCAACACCTTGGCTCATCTAACCCCACGCCGTTTAGGCTTCGCCCTCGAAGTACTTCTCATCAGGAAACGGGTTTGTACCCCCCACCCACTTTCCCTCACTTTTGAGAATCGATTGACGCCCTTGGTGCCAACAGGCTTTTACAGCTAGGACATATACCTAATGTAGTGGAGTGCTGTGGCCTCGTGGTTAAGGGCACTGATTCGTGGTCTGTGGGTAAAGCTGCAGGTCGTGGGTTCGAGTCCTGGCGGGGTCATGGTGCGTGTGCCCTTGAGCAAGGCACTTTGTCACTCATTGCTTCTCTCCACCCAGGAGTAAATGGGTACCTATGAGGGCAGCGATGGTTATTGTGATTGAATTAGCTTCCTTGAGCCTAACACGCAGCATCGAGCTGTATACTCCCCAGGGAGCTGAGATGGTATATGGAATGTTTGATTGGCCCAATGATTAGGGGTAATAATAATGTAAAGCGCTTTGATCTTAGTTAAAAGTGCTATATAAGAACCTGTCATTATTATTATTATTACCAGTTTGGCCTGGTTTGATTTGTACAGTGCTTTGTACGCTGAATTCGGTGCCGGTGACTAAGACGGAAAAGGGCCTACGGAACACTGGTGCCTAGCAGTCATGTGGTTGCTAAGGCAAAGCGTCTGCCGTTGTTAAGCAAAGCTAATCCGATTACGTACTTAGACGCTATAGCAGAGCAGTGAAATTCATGCACCACAAAAAAACATGGCCTTTTGAACGTTGTGTTTCTCAGAAAACATGCACAGTATGATTGAAATGTTAAATTATAACGGAAGAAGAAATTATAAACTTCATGTCAAAAAATCGCCGTCATCGATGCCGAAACGTCAATACTAGTTACTGGTATAGCTGACCTTCAAGTCTGGAAGAAATCGTTGGGAAACTTCCCCAAATCTCTCTATTTATGTCAATTTCTAGGAATTTCTCAAAATTATTATTTCACGAGTTGTTGAACACTTAGGGGCCATTCAGAATTTTCAGTGTTTTAAAATTTCGACTTTTTTTCCAAATTATTTTGACCCACCCACCCACCCCTAATTTCGATTAATAAAAAACTGAACATGTACATGTACATATACATATACTTGAACATGAACATGTATACCCATGTACATGTGTGTCTAGTTCAGTGACGGCGTGAAGTTGTCGGTCTTCCTCTTTGCAGTTTTTGGAAGCCACAAAGATGACCGTGGTTTTGTCGTTTTCTGGATGAGATGGATGACATGTGACATACGAGGTTGTGCCTGTCACGTGAGGTAGCTGAGAAAAATATCCCCCCCCCCCCGCCCTGTTTGCAGGGCAGGTGTGCAAGCGAAAGAAAAACATCAGGTTTGGGCAGACATCACAGGCTGCGGTCCTCGTAGCCTTGGAGTCCAGTGGTTGAATAGTCCAGTTTTTACAGCGATTGGTAATAGACGCCCGCGGCGCGTTATAGAGCTGATCTAGTACACCTGGTACCCTGCTGCCTCTGCACGGCCTAACCGCTACAAACGCCCGGCGTCCAAGTCCAAGTCTATATACACGTACATGACGTACATGTACAGTACATACAGGGGACGAAGTTGGAAAATAAACACGCATCGCGATATCGGAACGCTTGCGCGTAGTTCAGGCAAGTCAAAAGATATATCTTTCTTTTCTTTTGTTTTAATATTTTTCCATGGAAAGTGAATTTCGATTTTCAATTTTTTAGCTTGACCCACCCACCCACAATTTGGAAAAAAGATCGAAATTTTAAAACATTGAAAATTCTGAATGGCCCCTTATATCAACCAAGTATATACCGAATTTCAGCTAAATCTGTTGTTGCAAACGCTAGTGTTACACATAGAACCATCTCCATGGCAAATTTCGACGATGATTTCTGCCAACCCAACCCACATGCATTGTTCAGTAGAGCGCCTTAGGCGCTACAGTTGACCGATTTCGGCCAAGCCACACAATAACGTATTGTAGATTAGCAAATTCATAAGTTCGCTCGTACCCCCCGCCCTGCATGCATGCTCTGATTAGTTGGAATTTGCGTGCCCTGTAACCTGCGCGTCATCACGGTCATGACTCTGCAAGGTTTGAAACCGACGGCCGTTAAGACGAACTTTCATCACTCTTTTATTCCAGTTTAGAGATTTTTTTTTTCGTTGAAAAGCGTAATAATGTAGGAAATTCTGTAAAGTTTATCTTTGATGTAAATTTACAATCCCCGTCACTTGCTCAGGCTCCGTTTCGAATCGCGAACGGTCGGATTGCATTATGCTACACTCAAAATGATGTCCACATGGCCCGCAATGAAACAGAAATTACATCCGGTATGAAACGTGTGCATTTCTATGGGAAGTTTTCGGATAGCATTTGCTCACATTGTCTAACTGCGGTCTTGAACATCTGCAGCCAGATGCTTTATACATAGGTTCTAGGCCACTTCCTTCACAAGATTCTGTGAAGCTCATCAGCGTGTCCCAGCGTCCTGTTTGCAGGGCGGGGGGTATGAGCAAAATTCATTAGCGTCACTCTCAATTTTTTTTTTACTGCACACCATAATGGATAGGACCCTTATTAATATTCGTGAGGCTTGAAAAGATTGACAGATATTGCAAATGTCAGTGTTACATCTTTTAAAAATGCACGTAGTCATAGTGATTTGGAAGCGGGCATGCGCCTAAGGTGTTTTGAACAACTTTTGCCGAAATTCACATCCATAAATCACATCAAACCCGTTTCTAATGTTTATACATTACGTGTAAGGGTTCTGGAAGGTCAAAATACTCGGGGTCGAACACTTTGCAACTCAATCCATTGAAAATACCAACATTCAAGTAGTAAATCCAAATGAACGGTTCGTCGCTATCTGAAATAAAAACAAAGCAATATTTTAGGAATCTTTTAGCCAGCTTTCCAAACCCGTAGATGAATGATGAATATGAATGATATTTTTTTGGCAGATGTAATATGGTGATAGGTAAATAAATATATATATATATATATATATATATAGCAGCTCCGAAGAATGCCAAGTGTTTCTTTTCCAAGCGTTCAAAAGCATTGTTGTTATATAAGGGAGTTTTTAGCTGTTACAGGTATCCTTACCGTTTTCACGTCTGAGTAACATAATCACTATGTGCTTTCTTTCTACGCGATACAGCAAAAGTGGTGTACGGAAAATGGTATTTCGTTCGGTTGAGCGGGGCGAATTAGAACGAAATGTAGTTCTCAATAAGTGTAAATGTCACTCCGCCATACGCGGATGAAGATTGGAGTAAAAAAGGGGAGTATATAAGGCGATGCTTAGTCAGCATGGACCATCTGCGCACCGGCAGGCTCGACTTCTTTCAAGTTTATAGTTAATGATCATTATTATTATAATATCCAATTAATAGATTAGATGTTAAAATCGGGCACTATGACCATAAGTCATGCAATGTCGCAACTCTCAATACGGGAAAAGTACTGTTTAGAGAAATTAGTGGAAACCATACTACTATTAGTCTTGTTCGTCTAGCGGGGTTTTCCAGAGTATTTTCTCGCAAAGAGTTTTTATCTCTGATTTTTCACTCCGCAGGCGTGCAGGATCAACATACAAATCACAACTTAATTGATTTTATATGATGGCACAAGTCACAGAAAAGTGCATTAGGGGCGTCGAAGTTATTTGTAAAGATTGTCGTTGTGTATGTATCCACAATATCTTTAAAAAAAAAATTGGATCCATAGTTGACTATTATTATTTAGCATATAATCGTATAAATGTACATATTATTTTAATGAAGAAGAAGAAAAAAGAAGGAAGAATAAATAAATAAATAAAAGGGTCAGCAACTGCAATGCCTGTCGGTGGCCAAAACCATGTTGTAAAACTGGTGCGACGTGTGGGTTATTGAGAAATAACGTTTGGGGGTATGGAGGACTAGAATAACAGAAGTTAACACGGAAACAACTTACAGAATGATAGACAATACGACAGCTAAACAATAGCTTCTCAAAAATAGTACAATGTGTACTAATGGCCTCGAGGCCAGCTTACCTGATACTCTTTCACGCCGTTCATTGATGTCAACTTTGTTCACACGTTTGGCAATGACATTCGCCACTAGGTATCCTGCTGAACGAGTGTAAAATGTTCCCGGTTCGGCAATAATTCGCACGCCACTGCTGGCGGGGAAATGTTCGTCTAGTGCCCGGGTGATGACGTCTGCAAACTGGCAACACAACAACGAAATCAAGTTACTTAATAATAACAAAAATGACGGGTTTTTATATATAACGCTTTTAACTATGATCAGAGCGCTCTACATTATTATTACCCCTGATCAGTGGGCCAATTAAACATTCTAAATACCATCTCAGCTCCCTGGGGAGTATACAGCTGGATGCTGCCTATTAGGCACAAGGAAGCTAGAATCGATCACAATTACCATCTCTGCCCTCACATGTACCCATTTACTCCTGGGTGGAGAGTAGCAATGAGTGACAAAGTGCCTTGCCCAAGAGCACACGCACCATGACCTCAGGATGGACTCGAACCCACAACCTGCCGAATTGCCCGCAGACCACGAATTCAATGCTCCAGACCACGAGGTCACGATACTTCGCATACTACATGATATATTCCAACCTTAAAAGTTACGGGTGAAATTTTCCTACAAAGTGGGACTTACACACACAGAAAAACATTCCCTTGAAAGGAAATGTGTGCATGCATGAATGAATCTTTTATACCAATACTAATAAAAACCAGTATCAAACAATGACTAGTTTCTCAAATCTGTACTGAAAACATATGGTGAACGTTCTAGGGTCCGTCTCACTCCAATCATCTCAAATTTCCCGATAATTTCCCGGCTTTGGTTTGCAGTAGTCATCTGTGTTGCTGGCCAATTCGTTTCTGAGAATCTTGTGCAATGTCATGAGGAGGCTGGGTTGTCTCACTTTCTCGATGGAGGACCATCTGAGTTGGTTATCATGCATGCGACACTTTCCTTTTTCCTGTAGTTTTTTTTTTTTTTTTAACCTTTTTACCAATGAACCGGGGTGCCATGTATTCTGAGTATCACCCGTTATCCACGGAGCCAAGTCTTCTGTATAACGTCTGATATGTCAAAGCATGCAGATTTAAGCGATCTCGTGCCTCAGCCAAGCGGAGTCGACTTTACTAAATCGTGCCGTCATTTCATTCCCAAATCAGGACTAAACGTGTGATTGGTCAATTCGAATGCAGTGATTTGTAATATAACAGCAGCCGGGCGCGTATCGGGTAACATAATGACGCGACAACGGGTGAATGACCGAAGACCCGATACAGAAAGCGCCCGTTGATTGGGCAAAATCTAGCGGTCAAGATGCGGTTGCCTTGCATAATTAATAAGCGAATTTGCTCAAATGTAATATAGACCATGGCTATAGCCATGGTCTATTACATAGACTAGGTGCCATACTGAAGAAGTTAATGTTTTTAATAGTGAAGTTGGTCTACGAGTATTCTACAATGGAACCTTATCGTGAAACTTGTATAACTGTGCATGTAAGGAGACAACTTCATCGAAACGTTCGCAACTCATATATTTTGCCCAAAGGAAACCTTTTGTGTAGGAAACTTTGAGTAAGGAAAACGTGCCTCTCTTTTGCAGGAAAACTTGATAAATCGAATGTCACATTTCTGAAAGCAAACATTTCATTCCTTACCTTATCGAAGGTTGCCTTTGGGTACAATCTGCCGGGAAACCCACCACCCAGGTCTAGCAGCTTCATGTTAAATCCGAGAGATGTGCCAATATCAAACAACGGCCGAGTGAAACGAATTGCATCGCTGAAAATCTGAGGGTTAGAAGCCTCACTACCCACATGGAAACTGTAGAAGGAAGAAACATGAATATTGATAAGAAAAAAGTGGTGAGAAAACAATTGAAAAACCCTTCTTCTGTGAAAGACGGCCTGACTAATTTTTTTAAAAATCATTGGCATGCTCATGTTTATAGGCCTACATATTGCTTTACTGGTGCACCGAATACATGTGTTAGTGTCTTTTAACCATTTTAATTGATGCGTTTATAGTCCATGAGCCAAGGGCTGATATTTGGCATATTGGTAGCATCTCAAGGGACAAATTCCTATATATTTTGATTTGGGTTGGTATTAATAATGTCTCTCGTTATGGGTCATTCCATGTCAGACCAACGCACTTTTTTACCTCATGTCTTCCGATTTTGATAAAAATTGCTGTGCTTGTAGGTCCTAATGAGCAATGAATACGCACCAATTTTTAGCCCGATCCGACCTACCATGTGGTCAGGGCAGAAGCCACAAAAAATGGCATTTTTAGAGTAAAATACCACCCTTTTGGTATAAATATGTCAAAACTTTGGCAATTTTCATCGAATGTATGTGAATTTGGTATTAAAATAATGAGGATTGCATGCTCAAATCACTTCTTTTGCCAAAATTAAATTTTGTGAAAAGTAGGTCACGTGACCTTTAATATGCTATCGTGACCTTTGACCCATTTTTTGTAATAATGTATCATTCCAAAAATCAACGAAATAAAAATAACTTGCTAGAGCATGTCTTCCTCTATCAGAATCTACTAAAAATCAGTTGGGGTCTTCAAAATTTACAACTTTATGACTATTTTGTACAGTTGGTAGGTTACAAATGAGTCAATTTATAGACTTTACATAAGAAATACACCAACACAACTTACTATTCTGTTTCTTAAGTTACTAAAATTTATCTAGATTTTTATGTATAAAGTACAAAGCCAGGAAAAACAAAATTCTACCTTCTGATTCCAAAGAAACTGTCTAATCAGAATATCTGGACTCGGAAGTGTGCTAACCACTTACAGTAACCAGGCCTTCACCCAGTACAGCGGACTCACGTCCAGGTGAAATTCATCTCAAAGGAACAAAATGCCAAGTCTGTGAGAGTCATTAAAGTTCAAGAAGCACAGTGATGAATGAGTAAAGGTAACTTTGATTGTAATATTAAGTATTATCTTCAAGCAAAGTTGAATCCTAGACCCTGATTAGTCCATCTATAGCAACAACTGTGTGATTTTATATAATATTGCACAGCTATATTGCACCCCAGATATTTAAAATGTACGTGTACATATGTTGTGTCATTTCCTGCTGAACGGACCAATACACTACATGTATGCACGTACATCTTCACCGCGTGTACGCATTTGATATCAAGTTTGCTTGAAGATAAATCTATATATATAAGAGAGAGTTTAACTCGGCCTCCGAGACGATGTTTGCTCATGAAAGGATCCGAGACCGCGGGCTCCCGCGGCCCCAAAATCGCTCCACGTCCGTGGAAAAATGCGGAGGGTGTCTTCCGCCGGGTGGGACGCTTCGGGTCGTCCTGATTTTCCCGTACGGACCGGCAATCCGTTTTGTCGATTTTTCGTGACTGCGTTTTGCGCAGGAATTTGCCGTCGTGTGCGCTTTCACGTTGACTGCCTGGCCGCCCCCTGTGCTGGCTTTTCTGCGTGTCTAGATTGTGCGAGGTCAGCGGCTTCAACGCAGGGGTTCCGTTTACGTGTTCTACTCGGCCGTTCTGCAAAAGCGTTCACCAAATGGTAGATGGGGTGACCTTGGTAAAATATTTTTTCTCCATGGTGCGTGGCCACCAAGTGTCCCTATTCTTTCATATGCTTCGCTTGCCGCCCCTGCGCTGAGTGCAACGAATACTCAGAATGACTACACATTAGTATGCCTTGCGCGGTCTGACCAATCGAAAGTCTACACTGCGTAGTATTTCCGGGCTATGCAAAACTGTCGATGGCAACGCGTACTGCAGCCTGCTCCACACCCTGGAAACGAGGTTGG